CTCTCTCTCTCTCCCCCCTCCCTTCTCTCTCCATCCCTTTCTCCCTCCTTATCCAACTCACACCATCGAGCGTCCAAGAACTCCCATATCGTGAGTAGTCCAGTTCCCGCCGTGACGTCCTTTGCTTATCAAATCCACCGGCCACCCAATGGGGGTCCCTGACCTCCGAATTGAGGCCCCAGCTCTGGTCACCACCACCAGGAGACCTCCATCTCCAGAGGCAGGAGTTCAAATACCTTGTTAGCCTCTGACAATTAAGTTAGTTCACCTTAGAGACAACAAATTTTATTTGCTCCATCCAGCACGCGAGTCTACAGCCAAGAATCAGATTCATTTATATTCTTATTATTCTTTGAAAGGGGAGTAACTAAGAGAGAGGCGACAATTAAATCTGAAAGACGCAAAAAAAGGAATGGAGAGCGAAAATGAATCCATATGAATGAGTTATGAGCACAAATCTTGTAGCCTCACTTATTGGGTATTTGTTTTGGAAGAGTGTTACGTCCTTTTAGACCCAAAAGGCCATGTCGAAGGCAGGGCCGTGGGTTCAGTTGTTTTAAGACCGCTCCGTCGGTCATCGAAATATCGATACGAAATAAATTTGGACAAGCCGAAGCTTTTCATTAATGAAATATTTTATACCGTAACAAGCTATTTATGCTCCCTGGTTTTTCCAACCTCTACTTCCTGTGCAGAATTCGCTTTCATTTGATATTTATAAATCCCCTCCCTGTGCTGATTTGTCACCAGAATTGTGTATACGACTTTTCCCACAGCAGTGTTATCGTAGCCACCACGACCTCCAAAACAATTGCAAGCATGATGGTCCCCACTCATAATAATACAACTACCGTTGTCACAATCTGTCTGACTACACGGCACAATAGGTGGGACATGTCAACCATAACTCAGAGGGGAAGAGAAATACATGTAGTTACAAAAGCGAATAGTAAAAAGCAATGTTCAAATACCCTGAGATTACCGTGAAAAGTGTTAAGTTTTTGGTGGCAGTATGGCTGTGACCACTTTGGAAGTTTTTGTCAACCAGCTTCGTGGGAATAATCTTTATCGAATTGTTGATTCTTCCTGGGTGTCGTATCCCTCTCAGCCAGGGCCGGCCCTGAACGGCAAGGTCTAAGTCTGCCTTTTAAATTATCTAGATTGTGTCAATGTTGGATGAAAACTCATATTGTATCAAATAAGAAGTATTGTAATATTAACATTTATTTTCCTACAATTTGTGAGTAGGATCTTGAATGTGTGGTTCTAAGATCTCAGCATTTAAAAAGTACTCTAAATATGCCTGATGTGTGATTGCTTTGATGAAAAAAGTCTAGTTCCTCCGCTACCCATGTCTAAAATCTATGTTAAACCAGAGGCAGTTTTGTCTTTCTGAGGCTAGATATGGAAAACGCTCTTCATGAAAGTGCAGCCCAATTGAAAAGCACCTAAAACTAACACTCAATAAAACTGGATCAAACGAATGTCATTCAGAGCTTCAGTAGTGTGAGTGTAGGACAACAACGAAGAAGTTTTTCTATATTTATCCACTTCTTTTGCACTGAAATATTAAATGAAAAAAATCCACACCCAGAACATCTGGCAATTACCTTGAAGACATTTAGAAATAGCGTGCAAGGAGCTTCAGAGACACTTGTCGAACCAACCTGAATTATGGCCTTAAAATCTTTGGGGTGTTGAGAAATAACTGGCCCCGATGAACGTGAAAGAAGCATGCAACATAACAAAATCACTTTTTTTACGGTGCTCGCAACTGCATAAGGTCATTTGAGCGCGCGAGACACATTAAACATTTTCAGTTGGAAGGAAATTTTGAAATATGCCCGGGTGGCGGCCAAAGCATACTCATATCAATTTAAGACCACCAAGGGATCTTTAACGTGCGCAACTTGCACACGGGACCTCCGAGATTTTTCGCCCTTGTCCGAGAAGGCTACGTGTAGATCTTTCCTACCAAAAGATCAAGGGTGTGGCTGAAAGATAGCTGTAGGAAGGAGTCAAGGAATAGCAGTAAAAAGGCTGCAGAAATAATCAGGAGCCCAGAGGAAGGGGCAAAAGACAAAATCATTTAGAAGTATAAGGGGGGCGGGGGGCGTTTAGAATGCTACACTTTCCATTGGCAGTCCATGCTGGCTTTTTATTTGAATTCAAATTTTGACACAACACGTTTTGTATGGAAGATAACCAGATACTTAGGGTAACTTTTTGGAGATTTAGTCACAATTTATTATGGATAGATTAATGCAATTTTTTTTTTACATTTCTGTAATGTCAGCTGGTTTGGTTTAGACGAAATATTTTTTTGAAATGTTTAATGAATTGACTGGTCTACATTTAGGATTTAAATGACAATGAGTATGGTCGATGACAGTTTTCAGCAATATAAAATGTTCTGAATTAACTATTGGCGAAACTCAGAAAAAACTATGTAAATTAGCAAACATTTACCGTAACTATAAGTTCGTTGTGGTACTTTCTCAAAGCTAAATATCTGTCTCACGCTGATGTCTAGAATCTTTTGTACCCGTTTTCACATTCAATAAACGTACCTTAATGGGTCTGCACGTCTCTTCAAGTGGAGCTGGTGTAAAGTCCCATGACAAGACGTTTGTGCTGCTGTCAAAGGCGACATTGTGACAGTCTTGTACATTTCTTAAGGGTTCTGATATAGTGTTGTGTGTGTGTGTGCGTGTGTGTGTGTGTGTGTGTGTGTGTGTGTTTGTCTATGTGTCTGTGTGTCTGTGTGTGTGCGTGCGTGTGTGCGTGTAAGTGTGTGTGTGTGT